AAGCCACACAGCAAGCGCTGTAAAACAGGACAGGGGCAATGCCACACAGAAACAGCTTTACATCAGATAGAGAAGCAAAGCCACACAGCAAGCGCTGTAAACAGGATAGGGGCAATGCCACACAGCAACGGCTTTACATCAGATAGAGAATCCAGAACATGAAAGATGAGGACACTCGACAGTAACACTTGGAACCTGCACTGCATGGCGCTGAACTCAACTCCGGTGATACTGAAGGGCTAGTGCAAACTTGGCTACGTGTTCTGAGAGCCGGGATAAAGTGATGGTCAGGGTATGATGCGTGCTTTGGATCCACCCGCCTTCTCAGCCATCAGAGCCACGTCGCCCAGGTCCGTAGGCACTCTCTACTGCATGAGCCAACACGAGGAACGGTCGGCTCAAATTCTCCAAGACCTAGTTCTTGCAAGTCTGCATTTGCAATTCCATCGCTGGGGTTTGCTTTGTCATTTTGCCGGTCGCGCTTCTGCTCCCAGAGTAACGCGTGTGCGGCTGGAACTGGAAACTCAACCCTCTTTAGGAAGTGAGACCAAGGTGCTCAAGAAGTTCGAGCCAAGCTTCGCTCTACCTCAGGCAGCAAGCACTTGTCCTTGCTCCGGCTTTCCCACCACGCCCAGGTGCCTCTGGCTTCGAGTCAGATTTTCGGCCCCTCGACAAGTTCGCTCCCTTCCAGCAACTCCTCAAGCTTTTGCAGGTGCTTGTAAGCCACTGCATGACTGCATGAGCCATGAGGGGCCATCTCTGCCGGAAAGTCGCTGTCTTGACCCCGAAAGTAGTAGCCAGGGCCTCGTGCGAGTGAAGCTCAGCTCATCCCCTTACATGGCTCTCCACTTGTCGAGTCCGAGGAGCAGAAGGGTGGTCGATGCAAAACGCGGGCTGCGTGTAGTCAGGCCACAGTCCAATGATCAGGAGGGCCAAGAAGGCACAGTGAGTTGTGTTCGACCTCAATCGAGCTCAATCCTTCTTGCATGCATATCCTTGAGGCCTGGAGGCTTCAATCCAAGGGCATGGCACAAAGAAGATCACTTCAGACCGCACCCAGGGAGCGACGCATTGCGATGTGAGCACGGAGATCTCGGCAAGGCAAGCTGAAGGCTTCACTACATGCGCAGCCAATTTCAAAATGTTTACCCCTAATGTTAAACCGGGGGACCCCCTCCATGAAAACTCGGAAAGTGTTGTTATCATCAGCAAGGGGTATTCTTATCCCTGCTGTCTTTGAGAGATCTTGCTCAGGCTCGTGCTGGCTTTTGCTCCTGCTCCTTCTGCGGCTCTTGGTCTCGCTCCTGCACTTGCTCTTGCTCCTGTTCTTGCTGTTGCTCCTGCTCTTGCTCTTGCTCTTGCTCTTGCTCTTGCTCTTGCTCTTGCTCTTGCTCTTGCTCTTGCTCTTGCTCTTGCTCTTGCTCTTGCTCCTACTCTTGCTCTTGCTCCTGCTCCTCCTGCTTTTGCTCCAGCCACCCCGCCAAATGCAAATCAGGTCTTGAAGGGCCGTCGGATACAGGTCTTTAAAATATCCATCGGACTGGGGCTGGACGGATGCTGCGCAACCCATACGCGACGCTTGCTGCTTACAAGGTGCCGGCAGGAGCAAAAACGCGCCCGCGTAGGTGAGACCCCAAGTTCTGTAGAAGACTCGCTTCGGGGCGTCTGGCCTTGGTGTAGCTCCATCCCATGGATCCGGCCACGTTCCATGGCTGCAGCATGCAGCAAAGAGGCTCTGCACCCCAAGACTGGAATAAGTTTCGAAGGTAGAGGGCGAGCAGCACAATGTCCTCAATCTGCAGCTTCCATGATCCACAAAGGGCTATATGGCTTCTCAAGCGACGAGCAGCCTGGCAAGGCCGAGGCTCGATGCAAATGATGATGTCGCCCATGTATGTCCGGTAGACCGAGTCCTTGGCTGAGCCAAGAAAGGTGTGCTTCCACAGGTTGGATGCGGCCGCGGGTCTGTTGTGTATGTTCGGGACTGAGCGAACTCGCCCCAGACCTCGTGGACTGATCGAGGGTACCGTTAGGGCTGCACATGACATCCTGCGGTTCGCTTCGGTGCAATGAAACTGAAACCACAGTCTGCGACAAGAACACTTGCAAGCACACAAGCCCACCCCATCCCAAACCGTGCAAACATCGCAGACAGACTCCGCGCGAGCCAAATACGGCCACCTCGAGCGAAACGCTGGCAATATACAGCGGTACCAGGATGCCTCAGCTACCGCGTCCACTTGGAATGACATCCAGGCAGTGTGCTCCACAGATAGGGCTGAAACGTGCTTCCTTCAAGACATCTCTCCCGTAAAGTGGCACCGAGATGCAGCCTCAGGTGCTCGCTAGGATCCGAATAGCAATCTTGGCCCAAAGAATGCTGCCAAGATTCGGCCACGTGCGAGAAGCAAGAGAATTGCTAGCAGAGTGTACTTGGAGCCAGCTTTGAGAAGCTTTCCTGCCTTAGGCTCGCAGACGCATTGGCGGATCAAGTCAGGGCCACTTGGGACTGCGGCCATGTACAGGTTGTTCTGGTCTTCTCCATGGTAAGCATACCAGGAAATGTTCAGCAGAACACAAAGTGTGCCTGCCTCACGAGGTCGGCAAGATAAAGCTGAAAAGGCTGAAGCACGCCATGTACCATTCACCACTCAGGCCGCTTGCACTCCGAGGCTGAGGAAGGAACCGCGGCAGCACCGACGCAAAGCCCCAGCAGAAGCCGTATCCTTAGCTTCGGGGCTCCGCGCAATGAGAAGGCTACGTCATAGTGCCAACGAGGCACGGATGCTGTGTTTTGGCACTGGTGCTCCTGAAGACATCTTCCGCATTCAACAGACCAACATCAAGCCAAACGATACTTAGACTTGAGAGCCACGGGGCAAGAAAGCTCTTTCATGCACATGGCCGGTGACACAAAACTGGGACGGACAGACACGTGGCATCTTGGTTCAAACTCCAACTCTACCCAGTGGCCTTTTCAGAAGAGCCATGAGCTGGCATCCAGCCAGAACCGAATACCTCTGTCGCGTGCTTTAAGGACTGCGGGGGACCGCTTCATGACTTCTTGCTCTGCATGCCGGGCAAGGTGCACTGCCATGAAGAGGCACATTCCTTTCGGTCCAACTCGATCTATCGAAAACTCCGCAAGGAAGCCGGCCCTTACGTTCGTCATGTGCACCTTTGCTCTGGGATGCACCGATGCACACTATTTCAGATTCGATGCCAAGGCCACGACATTGTAGTCAATCGTTCCTTCGTCACTTCGACAGGTATCGGAAAAAAAACTGAAACGGCTTTCCTGCCGGCTAGTTTCTGGGATGCCCGGAGCAGTCAACGATTGCAGCATACCACCATCGTGGTCTAATTTTCTCATAAATGTCCTGAGTGTCACCGTGGGTGTCGTGCAGGGGACACTGCCGCAGGCTTATCTGCACTCTGTTCGATGTCTCACGAGGTTCTTGTGGCGTGGGCTGCTTCTGGCATGCAGCGAAGTAGTCGTGTGGAACTTCCTACCGCACTCGTCGGGCGCCGCACTGGCGCCAATATGACTTTCTTACAATGCGATGGTGAAGTGCTGCAGGGATGTTCCAGGCAGGCAGGCGTCTGCAAAGGGCGTCTTTCCCGATGTCAAGTCTGTGGCATTTATCACCTGAGCGAGCCCCTCAGGAATGCCCTGAAGGCCAAACTACAGTACTTGTTCTCGAGTGTTCAGTGCGGCAGGGCCTGCGTCCAACGTGCCGCTTTCTTTAGCCTCCGTTCGGCGGCATCGACGAAACAGAGCATGCCCCCAACCTCGGCCTGTCGGAGTCGCAGCCGAAGCCGCCCAAAGAGGAGGAGACGGGATAGGACTTGGCTTCGTCGTCAAACCTCAGACGTCCCTTCCTTGTCTCTTTGCCAAAAATTATAGGAGCAAAAAGAGGAATTGCCAGGTCACAGCACAAATTTGATCAGGCCGTCTGCTGGGCTCGAGGAGTGCAGCGTTGCCTGCCGGTCTGGAATGATGCCGCGCAGAGCCCTGGCACCTCCTGGCCTCAATCTTGCCAACAGGATCCTTGGGGCCCGCATCTGGTGCGAAGTCAAAGCCTCGTAGGCAGCAGGGCCCGTTGCACGGCTACACGGGCTCCAAGACTTCGCTGCCAAGAAGCAGAATTTGGCGAGGAAGACAACTCCTCCAGGAGACACCTCTGCAAGCTGAAACTCCGCGACGGATCTGAAGTCTCTGAGCCCCACTTTGCTTTGCGCCTCGATGGATCCTCGGGTCCAAGCCTGCACGAGGGGCTTGCTGTGTCTCGCAACGCGGGGCCGCGGCACGCGAGTGGACAGTACACCGCATGCACGCGCAGTTCAGGAGCGACTCGGTGCATCTGAGGGGCGGCATCGGTGCTCGCGGTGCATGCCGCCGTAACAATGGCCAAACGGAGCCACATGAGTCGATTTTATTTGCAGGTCGCCACTATAAAAGTCGACGCAACTTCTGCTCTTTTCCAGAGGCGACTCGGCTGGAGACTGTCTCCAAGCGCTCTCATCAAGCTTAGACTCAGATGATAGCTTACTCTCACCAAAGGAGCACATCGTGTGAGAAAGCCTAAGCATTTGAGCGTGCAGGCCTGCTTGAGGCATGGCTGCTGCCAACAGACACGCAAACAATCTCAGACGGTTGCGAACTGGTGCAAACAAAGCACGATTGAGTGCGGCCCTCTTTTCGACCACACGCTGTGGCCCACTCGGTACCACCACTACTTCTTCTGCCGCAAGAACTCGCAAACTTTGTCGTAAGCCTCGGCCACCTCGCGAAACTTGGCCTCTGCAGCCGCCTTCTTCCTGGCAAAAAAGAAAACTGAAGAAAACGATGCGCGAGCGATTGGGGATGCAGTGTGTAGTGTGTAGGAAAAGTAATGGGCCACGGCTCCGGTCACGTTAATGCAAACTGTAACTGTCTTCTGCCGGCCAGCTTCTGCCCGGGATTCTTGTCCGGATGGTACTGGAGTGCAAGCTGTCGGTAAGCCTCACAATGAAGGCTTAGATAAACCGTCCTCGTCACCCGGCCGGAACTGCGCTTCAAACAGAAGTTACAGAAGCTCCTTCTCCTTGCCTTGCGGACCTCGTCGTGGCTCGCAGTGGCTGGCAGGCCCAAGACCCGAAAGAAGCGCTCGATCGGTGGAGTCTGTGGGGCCGCTGACCTCAACACCGGGAGCTTCAGGCATCGGCACGTACAGACCGAAGCCAGGAAGGGCCGGGCCTCTGCTTTCCGGAACCAGGAAAGCCGGGCCCGGGCCCGGCATAGCGCCTCTGTCCGGAAGGCATCCCAGCATGGTTCCGGTTGCCTTGCGCCGATCAAGTTCTCACGTTTGGATGCGTGCGAAGCGGCCCCAGCCTGAAGCAAAAGCTCGTCGATTTTCTTCGGCTTTTGCCTCCCACGCACGCTCGAAATCGTCCCCGAAGCCACGGTTGCCAGGGCTCCTGCAGGATGCTTCGACTCGTGAATCGCAAGCCTTCGTCGCTGAGCACCGGACGGCTGAGGACCCGAGGCCGAGGGTCCGGGCTTCGGATTCTCCTGGTAGCAATGTCATGTGACAGGAAGCGACTGCTCATAAGGCATGCCTGGGTCTGCGGGTTGCCATAGGTGAAGAAGTTCTTGAACCGCGATTCAGCCGCTTTGGTCTGGCCTGCGCTCACGAACTTGGAGCCATGGTGATTGAGGCCTTAGGGCCTTAGGGCTGCAATGCTGCATCGCCTATGGAAGTAAGCAGCCGCTTCAGGAGCTCTTCCTGACAGGGGAATCACAAGGTGCGAAGCAACAGCTGCAGTGCACTTAACACTTTAATCTAGAAGCAAGCTGCCCGAGAGGCAGCGACAGGGCCACCCAGACCTCGCTCACCTGAACTTGCAAGCTTCGGGTAGGGCAAAGCTCAAGAGGCAGAGTCGTCATGTAGTTGACCACTCGGCTGAGTTCGGTATGCCGCAGGCAGTTAACCAATCATGGTTGCCGTGACACGCATGCAAGCTCTTCGTCTCCCTCACAGCTGCTCCGGTGCTTGCACCACGACCTATTTCTGGCGCCCCCAGAAACGTGATGACAAAAGGTGGGGAGGTTCTGTTCTCTACTTCGCCACAGAAAACAAAATGAGCTTCTGGGGATGTGTCCCCCTGTGTTTGTCGGGCTCACGGCAGGGGTGTGAAAACTAACCCGACCGGTCAAGTCCCACTTGTTGTCTCTTTCTCCCTTTTTCTTTCTGCCGGGCTTAGGTGTCGTCCAGGCGACCGTCAGGCCTTCGGCCCGCCCGACCACCCACTGTTTTATTGAGTGGTCAGCATGGGGTCATCAATGACCCGTTGCAAAACAGGACATAGTTTGTGCTAGTTGAAACCACTGCAAGCCCCCGACCCTTAACACGTGACCCCCGGCCTTGTCGCCGTGCCCCTATGGCTACTCGTCGGCTTGCAGTTTCCCCAACCGTTGAAGAGCCCCCATGCATGTGGGGAGCTGGCATGCAAACTCTCCTTCCCTCTCGTTCTCTCGTATTCTCTTTCTCTCGGCTGAAACCCCTCGACGGCCCACCCATGTTGCTTTCTCTTCCTCTTTCCCTTTCGCTTTCTCTTTCTCCTTCGCTTTCTCTTTCGTTTCCTCTTTCTCTTTATCCTTCTCTCTTTCTTTCTTTCATTCATTCTTTCTTTCTGCATGGCTTAGGGGTCGATCACTCGACCCTCAGGCCTTTGGCCCGCCCAACCACCCCCTGTGAGTGGTTGGCTTTGGGGTCCCACTGACTGTTGCGGTGTCTCTTTTCTTTCCACAGGGTTGTGGTGCAGGGGAGCAAGCCCCCCTACACCGCGCGCAGGTGCGCCCCCGCCA